AGAACAAAAAGAACAAGGCGTCATAATTGAACACATATCGTTGTCAGGCTTCCACGTTTTTTGTGAAGTGACACATTAAATGTAGAAAGATTGTGAAGAAGTAACGATATATATTGTAATCCCTAGAGCAACTACTAAAAACATAGTTTAAAAGTCTGTAAGAAAATTCAAGATTTTTAAGAGAAAACCTTAAAATTCAGCCAGATGAAGATTAAAATTAATATAGCAAATTAAGTTTTCCACAGAAGTGTTAGGGACTGCCAAGATTATCGAGGGGGCATTGTGAGGTTAGAAATCAAAAACTTTTAATTGTTTTAAATCATTCAATACTTATTCAACATAAGTTTAATGAGTACTATATGCTAAATACTCTAGGCACAGGTGATTTAACGTGAAAGAGACTAAAAAACAAAACAAAACAGAAAGAAAAGAAAAACTCTGCCTACATAGAGCATACTCCATAGTAAGAAAGACAAACAATAGACTTGCTACATAAATACATTGTATATTATGTATTAGTCTGTTGCTGCATTGCTATAAAGAACTACCCGAGACCAGGTAATGTATAAAGAAAATAAGTTTAATTGACTCACCATTTCACAGGCTGCACAGGAAGCACACCTGGGGAGGCCTCAGGAAACTTACAATCATGATGGAAGGTGAAGGGGAAGCAGGCGCGCCTTACATGGCTGGAAAAGGAGGAAAAGAGAGAGAGAGGGGAGGTGCCACACACTTTTGAATAACCAGATCTCGTGAGAACCCACTTACTATCAAAAGAACAGCAAGGGGGATGTCTGCCCCCATGATCCAGCACCTCCCATCAGGCCTCTCCTCCAACACTGGGGATTATAATTCAACATGAAAGTTGGAGGGGCGGGAACTCTACCCTCCCAGGAACAGCTGCAGCTGCCCAGCTGTGGCTGCGGACCTGGGCATCCCTGTGCTCTTGTGGGTCCTGGAAGCCCTGTCCCCAACAAGCTCCAAAGTGCCTGCTCCTGCTGCTTAGCATCTCCCTGGTCGTGGCATCCACTCTGATTTTACAGCAAAGTTGAGGCTGAGCCTGGGCGCAGTCATAACCTGACCAGGTGTGCACATGCTCAGAGCAGCGCTGACATGCCAGCCCCTGCCACCTTGCCCCCCTCCAGACTTTGAGCACTGAAAAGCATGGGAAGGAGGCTGAAGCCGGGTTGACGGTGGCTAAGTGTGGGCCTTCAGGCCCAGCATGAACAGCCTGGGCACCATGGAGGACATGATTGGTGGTGGCAGGAGGCAGACAGGCTCCTGGGTGGAAAGGGGTGGGTCCCCAGTGAAGCCCCACTTTCAAGTCAGGGATGGCCTAAAGCATGGGGGCTGGGCTGTCAGTTCTGGGTGCAGTCCACAGCCTGGCAGGGAGTGAGAACTTTTGGTGCTTTTTCCACCCACCTGTGATCACCCATGGACCAATTGGCATGCACTTCCTCCCTTCTGAGCTCATATAAACCTCAGACTCAGTCAGATTCAAACAGACATTGGGAGGACCTGCCTGCAGAAAGGAGCTACCCACTGCAGGTCTCCTCTCTGCTGACAGCTGGACACTCATCGAGACAACCTGTCTGCGGAAAGAAGCTACCCACTTTGGGTCTCCTGAGAGCTGTTCTGTCACTCAGTGAAGCTCCTCTCCCACTTCTTCACCCTCCAGTTGTCCAGATACCTTATTCTTCCTGAATACGGACCAAGCGTGGGCCAAAAACTTGGGACCTGCCAAATGGAAGGACTGAAAAAGCTGTAACACAAACAGGGTTGAAACATGGCTCCCTGCTTGCCATGTTGCGGGCAATGAGAAGAAGAGCTGCAGACCTTAAGTGAGCCTAAATCTAGAGGCTCCCTGAGCCAGCACTATGACACCCTCTTTGAGGCTCTGTGGCTCCTGGCATCTCCAAGCTTCCAGAAGTCATTGAGTTTCCCTTGTCCAGACATGGGTGCCCACAGTGGAGGTACTTCCACTGCATGCGGTACATCTGTTCCAGCTGCAGCCTTGCACGGAGCTGCCTGCCCCACCGCAGCAGCCAGCGTGTGTGGTTGTGCTCACTGGCCAGACCCCGTGCTCACTTGCCCACATACCCCTGGTTGTGTGGCTCACCCTTGGCAGGTGTGGGATCTGAGACAGTAGTGTGAGCTGAGCACAGCCTGCCAGGCTGAGTAGGTGGAACAAGCCCAGTGGTAAGACCAATACTCAGTCAGGCAGAAGGAGCTGCCGGCCACAGAGGTTTCTGGCTGGCAAAGCAACATCCCAAGGATCCCATGACATTTTCAACTTGCCTTATATGCCTTAACATAATCTATTTACAATGCTAACTCACCCCAATTAGTTTCCCACCCATGTCCTCTCCACAGCACACTGGTGGCTCTTCCAAAGTACCTTATTCCTCTTAGATATTCTAGATTCTCTTAACTGGAGTTACTTTCAATTCCTTTCTCTTTCATCCCCTGAATCTAAACTAAAACATTACTGTTCCTTGCCGAAACAAGCTGTGTCATGGCATTTTTTCCCCCAAAAGTTTCTAATAATTAACAATCAACTCTATGACAAAGTCAAACCCTTAGTCCTATTTAGCACAGCAAATTTCACCCTTAACATTTTTAACATAAGGCTACTACCCATTGCCCCATAGAAAACACAGTCTCTTCTACCTCTAAGCCTTGTCTTATATTTTCTCCCCTTAAAATCCCTCAGTTCTCCTTTGAGCAAATTGCAACTATATTTCAGTGCACACCAAAATCCCACCCCTTCATAAAATCCTCCAAATCACACTCTCCTTCTCTGAATTCCTACGAGATGTTTTCTCTTTACCACTTAAAATGGATGTGTGTGTTTCCTTGAATTCTTCCTTAACTCCTTGGTTAGACAAGGCTGCTGAAGAACTGAATACCACAGACAATGCCTAATTGAGAACCTACCTGCTATGCTAGTTACCAAATGCTAGTTACTAAATGCTATACTAGTTACCAGAAACAAACAAACAAACAAAAACCAAAACATTATGGGAAGGCAGGTGGCAATAGACAACCAATCTTTTAAAATTCATGATCAAAGAGAATAGGCCTTGCTTCCTAGAAAATAAAATATCTGGAATTCAAGTCACTGAATTGAAGTTTTTTGGGCCCCAAACCACCAGAATGAAAGTAGAAAATGTAAGATACTTCAGGAAATGAAAATATAACTCACCCTGAATCCAGCCATCAAGGGCCTAGCAGTCATTCTCTCTTCTTCTGGGCTCTTCTCTTGAAGAAGGGCAGAGTCTTGAGACAGTGGCTCTGAGGAAAGAGAGAGGAGCTATGAAGCAGTCAGCTTGTGTCTACAGCTACCACTTGATATTCTAGAACTACACTCTCCAATATGGTAGCCATTCCCCACATGCAGCTGTTTAAAATTAAATAAAAGACTTAATTATTCAATTGCAATAGTCACATTTCAGTGCTCAATAGCTAATGTGGTTAGTGGCTACTGTACTGAGCAATGTATACATCAAAAATATCCACAAAAGTTCCACTGCATAGCACTGGTCTAGATATCCACATATGTGTATGTTTTTGAAGTCATACTAACTGAATCTTCAGCTCCAGGAAGTAAAGAAAACCAGACATTCCTTGCCACCTCATGACCACAGAAAGGCCACAGGCATTGCATTCTTAATAGCTTGAATGTTTGTCTTCCCAAACTTCTTGTTGAAATTCAATTCCCAGTGTTGGAGGTGGGGCCTAATGGGAAGGTTTGGATCATGGCAACGAGTGAATCCCTCACGAACAGCTTGGTGCTATCCTCATAACAAGAAAAGGGTTCTCACTCTATTCGTTCCTGCAAGAGCTGATTTTTTTTTTTTTTTTTTTTTTGAGATGGAGTCTCGCTGTGTCATCAGATTAGAGTGCAGTAGCACAATCTTGGCTCACTACAACCTCCGTCTCCCGAGATCAAGTGATTCTCCTGCCTCAGCCTCTGGAGTAGGTGGGACTACAGGTGCCCACCACCACTCCCTGCTAATTTTTGTATTTTTAGTAGAGACGGGTTTCACTGTGTTGGCCAGGATAGTCTCAATCTCTTGACCTCATGATCTGTCCACCTTGGCCTCCCAAAGTGCTGGGATTACAGGCATGAGTCACTGCGCCAGGCTACAGCCAGTTGTTAAAAAGAGGCTGGTCCCTCTCCCCACTCTCTCTTTCTTCTTCTCTTGCCATGTAGTCTCTGCACATGCCAGCTCTCTTTCACCCTCCACCATGAATGGAAGCAACTTGAAGCTGTCACCAGAAGTAGATGCTGGAGCCATTCTTTTTATATAATCTACAGAACTATGACCCAAATAAGCCTTTTTTCTTTCTAAATTAACCAACTTAGGTATTCCTTTACAGCAGTAGAAGCAGTCTAAGACACCATCCATGGTTTAAGTAGGTTCCAGATAACAAGAGCAGTTACCTAGATGCTATCATAGCATTTACTACCTGTTTTGAAATTATCTTTTGGAGTATCTTTTGCCATCCCCACCACTACACATGAATCAAGATTTTCCCATATTTATATTCCTAATAACAAAACTGTGCCTGGCATATATATGGTAAGTCTTGATATGTTTGGTGAAATGAATAGGCTAAAATTTGTGTCAAATTCATAATTTAGATTTTTAACATATTGAATTTTCACATTCATTCAGCTCTGTAATAAGGACTCTTATAGGCACTGGGGATGCAACAAGTATGAGACAGAATAATCCCCGATGAGAGGGGCAGCAAAAAAAAAAAAAAAAAAAAAGCAAAACTAAACCAAACTATACAAGCATGTATAAACTCAAGTAGTGATGAACATATTCCCAAAAAAGTAGAATAAAAGGATAAACAAGGCCTTTATTTTAGATGACATGGCCAGGGAAAACTTTTCTGAGAAGGAAACATTTTTATTGGACTTGTGAAAAAAGAGTAAGCCATAAAGATATCTGTGGGCAGACTGAGAAAACAGCAAGTGCAAAGTCTGCAAACAAAATCTTGAGGTTAGAATATCCTTGTCATGACCTAAGAACAAGGAGGCCAGTGTAAGCTAATAGAGCGTAACAATGAGGAATTTATCTTTAAATGTTATAAAATAATGCTGTCGCCCTTTGTTTTTCAAGTATATAGGAGAAATTGGTTGGCAAATCCTCTCAACATAAGGCATACTGCCCTTATTATCAGAGGCAGTGTTGGTTAATGGAATAAACACTCCACTGGGATTGAAGAACCCTAGATTCTAATATCTGAGTTAGTAAAATGCTGTACAGCATTAAGCAAGTCACTAATTTCCTCGACTCTTTGTTTGGTAACAAAACAATAGGGATAAGAGTATCTGTTCCTCTTGTTTTATAGAACTTTGTAGGGAATAAGCAAGATGTAAGATTTGAAAAAGACCCTCTGAATTTACACATTTGAAAGAAGAGGTTTAGGACACTGCTTCTCAAACTATCGTCCGTGGATCAGCAGCAACAGCATCACCTGGGAACTTGCCAGAAATGCAAATTAGTAGGCCCAACCCCAGACCTACTGAATCAGAAACTCTGGTGGTGAGTTTAGCGATGTGTTTAACAAATCCTCCAGGTGACTCTGATGCGAGCTAAGAAGCACGAGTTTATAAGAAAATGAAATTGTTAAAACCAGCTCCTGAAAGACCCAAGCAATGGAGAATGTCCTCTTGGAGGTTCAGAATCTTATTGCTTGCAGCTGCCATGAGCTAGTTATTTTATTTTTTATTTTTATTTATTAATTTTTTGAGATAGAGTCTCGCTCTGTCGCCCAGGATGGAGTGCAATGGCGCCAGCTTCCGCTCACTGAAAGCTCTGCCTCCCGGGTTCACGCCATTCTCCTGCTTCAGCCTCCCCAGTAGCTGGGACTACAGGTGCCCACCACCACGCCTGGCTAATTTTTTTGTATGTATTTTTAGTAGAGACAGGGTTTCACCGTGTTAGCCAGGACGGTCTCGATCTCCTGAAATCGTGATCCGCCCGCCTTGGCCTCCCAAAGTGCTGGAATTACAGGCGTGAGCCATCGCGCCCGGCCATGAGCTAGTTATTATACTGAATGTTTCACATAAACCAGAGGAACTCAACAGACAGGACCTGGTCCTTACATTGAGTGGAGGAAATAACTACTGGCATTTAATTTGTAGGAGTCAGGGATCCCAGATGTCCTTCAGCACAGGACAATCCCAAACAATTTTTTAAAGTTTTGCAGGACATTCAGATGGGTAAAAATTCTATTGATAGTTATCGGAGCCTAGAACCTAACTCTTTTTTCACGTACAACCACAGAGTCTTTTTCATTTCTTCTTCTTTTTTTTTTTTTTCCAGTGCTAATATATGATGATCTTCTATAAGGACAACTATGGTCTAAATCAAGGTACTTTGTTCTGAATTTTACTGAGATTCGATCATTTTATCAACCTGAGTTGCAGTGTGTTCTCTTTCATTTCTCCTTTATTGTTAGAGTTAGGGCATCATATAGCTTTAAAATATGTAGGTTAGGCTTATTGCCAAGGTAATGAATTTTTATTTCTGGATAGAAATGGGGGCATTACAAAATACTTGTTATACAAAGAGCCTGCTTGGTCTGAAAGAGTTGAAAACTATTGAGATATATTGGGTAATTTAGCCTCACAACAATTTAACTATGAAAGTTAAATCCCCCCAAAAGGTTAAATAACTTGCCTAAGGTTACCACAGAGCCAATAAGTTTCAAAGCGAGAATTCAAATTCGGACCTGTTTGGATTCAAAATCCAGGCTCAAGAAAAATGTATGTTCACACAAAAACCTGTAGGTGAACATTTACAGCAGCATCATTTATAATTATTAAAATCTGGAAATGATACAAATGTCCTTCAAAAGGTGAGATTTTTTTTAAAAAAAACTGATACATCTATATACAATATTATTTAGCAATAACAATGTTCAGCAAAAAATAAGAAAGTGACACAATAATGTGGCCACCTTAAAGGCTTCATACTGAGGGACAGAAGCCAGTGTGAAAATGTTACACACCGTATTATTCCACTTATATGGCACTCTGGAAAACACAAAACTATAGAGATGGAGAACAATCAGTGGCTGCGGGGGCTAAGGGTGGGGAAAGGGTGTAAATATAAAGGGGTAGCACAAGGAAGTTTTCTGGAGTGAATGAAACAGCTCTGTATCCTCTGGTGGTAGTTACCCGAATCTAAACATGTTCCAGAACAGTATGCCTCCCCCATGTCAATTTTATTGTATGATAATTTTAAAATTAATTAACCAAACCAGGCAGTTTCCATTGTACTTTGATAGATAAAAGGCAGGCGTGGGGAAAGAGGTGCGTACATTTGAAGTGACCCGGAGAGGGGTTTTGGTCGTCTTCATACAGCCCCTACTACACAAGCGTGAAATTTCGCTTTCTTCCCAATTTCTCACACGAAAACTCGTGTGTGTGTGTGTGTGTGTGTGTGTTTTCCTCAGCCTTCACGTGGGGAAAGGGAAAGCTCTCTTTCCTCAAATCAGTTCCCAGAACACACTCGCTCTTGAGCTATTTCTTACTTCTCTTCAGGCAAAGCCGTAGCCTCCACCTTACCTGCTCCAGCCACTGTGACATTACGCAGGTTCCGTTCCTTGCACTACCACTGGTTATATTTCCTTAGTGACCCTCGGCCTCTTCTGGGAGAGTCCCTGGTCCCAGTCAGCGGGAGCGGCTTCTCCAGTTTGTGGCTCTCCGGGAGTTCGCCTCGTCCCTCCGTCTCAGGCAACCACCTATTTCTGACCTCTGGAGGCCGGGCTGAGCCTGGAATTTTATAACCAGCGCCCGCTGGCCGTCGTCACCCTCTGAATAATTCCTCGCAAAACTCCCGGGGACCCTTCTTAGTGTCAGTAGCCACAGTCGCCGCCGTTCCTGCGCCTAGAAACCTTCCACGACCCTCAACCCCACATGGCCCAGAGCTGGCTCGGGTTCCCGCAGGATACACTGCACGCCCAGTGCCCTGGAGGGCGCGTCCCGGGCTCCCCTACGCCTTTTGGAATAAGCAACAAGCGCAGGTATAAAAGTGAGCCTCCACTCCCACCTCTACAGTGCTCCCCACCCGCTCCTTCTGGCCGCTTTCTTCTGAAATAGCAAGGCACCCCTGGAAGCTTCAGGCTCCTCCACAGGCGAGTGCCCACCCACCTATCAGGTAAGAGGTGCAACTGACACTCAGTACGCGGAGGAGCGCGCTGACAAAGGGTTTACCTGTCCGAATTGAAGTACGCTTGACTGGCTGTGGGCTGGCTGGCTCTTGCACGCAAATACATTTCCCAGTGCTGTCTGCGGCTGGAGAGATTTAGGGTTTGGGACGTGGCTAGCACAGGCCTGAGATCCTAATTGGGAGGTGTAGGCATGGCGGCTGGAGAGTCTGATCTATGTGACACTTTCACTGTGACTAGGGTATAACTTGAATAATTTGTATGCAGTAAAGTTCCTCTGCATTACATCATTGACAGCTCTCTAGTAAGCAAAGGACAAAAACAAGTTCTCATTATCTCTTTTTATAACACACAAACATTAAACCACTAATTAAAAATCACAGGGCCCCAGAAAAATCAGACACCTTTATTTTACAATAAAAATAGCCAATTAAACACACACTGTATGTCAGGCTGTCTTCTAAGTACTTTACATGTTTTATCGCATTTGAGAAGGCAAAAATCAGCCCTGCTATTAACCAGACTCAATGACACTGACAGGCTGCTGCAAACTTAACCTCAAGCAATATTTCTACCAAAATGATACTGTAGCAGCTGTAAAGTGTCATAATTGTTAAAGGTGGAGGGAGTCCTGGTTCTCGGCATCTTGAACAAAGAATTGAACAAATCGCACAAACAAAGCAAGGAAGAGACAAAGGGATTTATTGAAAGTGAAAGTACACTCCACAGGGTACCAAGCATAGGAACTCAAAGATACCGGTACAGAAGTTTTGGGCGTTTAAATACCCTCTAGAGGATTCAATTGGTTACTTCCGTAAGCCCTATGTAAATGGAGAGGATGAAGTAAAGTTACAAAGTCATTTATGGTGTAAGCCATATGGAGAGGATATTTCCTGTTATACCTGAAGTGTGCACCAGCTGTATATTCCCTGCCTCCAGGCCCTATTTTCCTGCCTCAATAATCACTCTTTTTAAATGTTTATTGTTTCCTTACCAATGGCATGCCCAGGTTTGTCTTGCTACTCTCACTAAAAAAAAGATTATCTTGTTTGCTGAAATCATGAGATTGTCAAGAATTTTGCTATTTGAAATGAACGAATTATTATTAACACATTACAGAAGAGTAAATAGTCACAGAGAGGTTAAGTAACTCACCCAAGGTCATTCACTTGATTTAACTACAGGAGCACATATTCTTAATTGCTGTAGAAACAGGCCCAAGATGTTATTAAAGTTTCACAACTAGCAAATGGCAAAACTAGGATTAGAATCCCTTTCTATTCTCAGTTCAGTCTTTTTCCTATACTATCTCACTGTGGTATTTTTTGGATTGGGGCATAT